AAAAGAAGAGGGGAAAAGGAGGAGGCCCACAGGGACGAAGATGACCCGAAGGTAAGAAAGGTGGAGCCCCCGGGCACACCCCCAACGATTGTAGATAAAAGGGAGTCGGAGGGAGCGCTGCCCCTGACTCCCCTTCTGGTTGGTCCCCCCTCGTACCCCCGAGAGGAGAAGGCCACAAAGGTAGGGACCCCCCATGTCTCCGCGGAGACGCCCGCACTGGAAGCCACCGAGGCCAGAGCCTCCTCCTGTGAAACCGGAACGGCGTTGCCGCCCGGGGTCTCGCAGGAGGAGGTGGAAGTAGGCAGCCCGGAGGAGGCGTGAAAGGCTTAGCCTTCACGCTACTCCGGGCCCTACAGGCCAACCTCGGCCGCGGTGCCCGGGCTCAGGATCTCTGCTTGCAGAGAATGGCTGAGCTGGGCGCCGGGCTGGAGATGGTTGCCGAGCCGTACTGGGTGCCGGTACCAGGTCCGAACTGGTTCGGCAGCCCGGACGGCTCGATGGCCATGGTGGCGAACCCTGCGGCGGGGACCCCTCCCTGTACTTTTAGGGAGAACGGGTCCTCGTACATGGCGGTCGATTGGGGGCCCATCACTGTGGTGGGGGTGTATCTCCCCTACCGCAGGAATAAAGCCGGTCTCGAGGAGCTCGCTCCAGTGAAGAGGGTCCTCGACAGGATCGGGGAATTGGTACGTAGGTGCCATCCCCGACCTGTCGTGATTGCCGGGGACTTCAACGCCCACTCGGAAGGGTGGGGTTGCAGTCCCCGGCAAAGGGACCCTCGGGGCGAGTCCGTGATCGGCTGGGCAGCGGGGCTGGGCCTCCTGTTAATGAACAGGGGCTCAACCAGCACCTGTGTACGGCCGAGGGGGAGTTCAGTCATAGATTTGACCTGGGCCACCCCCTCGGCCGCTGGGATGTTCCACGAATGGAGGGTGGAGGCGGAGGGCGAATCGCTGTCTGATCATAGACATATAGCGTGGGCCCTCCGCCTCCCCAAACCCACACAGGTGCTGGCCCGCTGCCCAGGGGAGGGGAACTTTCCCCTCCCCAAAAGATGGGCCCTTAATCGATTCGATTCGGACAGGTTTCGGGCGGCCGTCCTTGCGGCCACCTGGCACCTAAATGTGGGGCCAGGTGAGTGGGACCCCAATCCCGCGGACGGGGCTGGGGAAATAGTGGGCATCGTGGCGTCGGCATGCGACGTCGCGATGCCCCAATCCCACCCTCGCCGGCGCCGGGCCATGTACTGGTGGACGGAGGAGCTGGAGACACTCCGGGACTCCTCCGTCCGAGCCAGACGGTTGTATTACCGGGCCCGGTGACGAGGCGGGGATGCCGCGAGGACAAGAGAGGGCTACCTGCAAGCCAGGAAAGCCCTCAAGGTCGTCATCGTCGAGGCCAAGCGAGCGGCCTGGGAGCAGATGGTGAGCTCCCTGGACGACGATCCGTGGGGGCGCCCATACAAAAGGGTCATGGGAAAGATCCGTCCATGGGCGCCCCCACCAACGGAGACGTTGGACCGCCAGACCCTCGAAGGGTTCCTGGACGCCCTCTTTCCGAGGGCAGAAGGGGGCCCCCCCATGATCCCGACCCTCCCATTGGGGGAGGGTGATTGGGATGAGGGTCTGGCGGTGAGTCCAGAGGAGTTCACCGCGGCCAGGAAAAGGCTCGGGGCCAAGGGGAAAGCCCCTGGCCCCGACGGAATTCCTGGCCGAGCCTGGGCCCTCGCCCTCGGCGAGGGAAACCTGTCCGAAGCCACGCGCAGGGTATTCAGCGGGTGCCTCAAGGAGGGGGTATTCCCCCCAGAGTGGAGGAGGGCCAAATTGGTCCTCCTCCCCAAGGAGGGCAAAGCACCCGGGAGTGCGTCGGCCTATAGGCCGATATGCCTGCTGGACGAGGTGGGCAAGATGCTGGAGTGCATCGTTGCAGACCGCCTCGTCCAGCATCTGTCCTCGAAGGGGCCGGATCTCCACGACCGCCAATACAGGTTCAGGCCCGGAAGATCGACGTTGGATGCTATCCAATGCTTCCGGGACCTGGCCCAGGCGGTTGTGGAGGAAGAGGGCGGGGTGTTGTTGGCGGTTTCGTTGGACATAACGAATGCCTTCAATACCCTGCCCTGGCCGGAGATTGGGCGGGCCCTCGAACACCATGGGGTGCCCGCCTATCTCCGGCGAATAATTTCGGCCTACTTCGGGGGCAGGGACCTCGCCTTCCCGGTGGAGGGCGGGGTCCAAGGCCGGCGCGCTATGGAGCGCGGTGTTCCGCAGGGGTCGGTTCTCGGCCCCCTGCTATGGAACATCGCGTTCGACCGGGTGCTGCGCACTCCGCTTCCCCCCGGTTGCCACGTCGTCTGCTATGCGGACGACACGTTAGTGGTAGCCGGGGGGGAGAGCTGGGGGGAAGCCCGCCTCCTAGCGGAGACGGCACTGGTGTCGGTGGTGAGTACCATCAGAGACCTGGGTCTCAAGGTGGCGCCCCAAAAGACACAGGCCGTGTTCTTTCACGGCCGGGGTCGGAGGGTGTCGCCAGGGACCCGGGTACTCGTAGATGGAGTCCACGTCCGCGTCGGGCCGACGATGAGATATCTCGGCCTGACGCTGGACAGCCGGTGGAGCTTCGGACCCCACTTTGGGAAACTGGCCCCCAGGGTGCACAAGGCAGGCCTGGCGGTGGCCAGCCTGACGCTCAACCAAGGGGGCCCAGGATGGAGGGCTCGCCGCCTGTACGTCATGGCGGTGCTCTCGATCGCCCTGTACGGGGCGCCCATCTGGGCGCCACAGCTGGGGGCCTGCCGCAGAGGCAAGTGCGCACTGCGGCAGGCCCTGAGGCCCGTGCTCATCGATTCGGAGGTACCGGACCGTGTCGTACATGGCGGCGACCACCCTGGTCGGCGTCCTCCCTGTGGAGCTCCTAGCCGAGGAGCGGCATCTCCTTTACTGGAGGGTAAAGGAGCTTCACAGGGAGAGAAGAATATCGGCCAGGGCCCTAAGGGGTCTGAAGCTCCAAGCCGAGGCCCGGACCCGGGAGAGGTGGGAGGACTTATTGTCCGACCCCCGGGGTCCCGAGCCAGCGACGGCAGCGGCTGTTCGCCCCTGCCTGTCCGAATTGACAGGCAGGAGGGGACGTGGACTATCCTTCCGTCTGGCACAGGTGCTGACCGGGCACGGGTGCTTCGGTCGGTACCTGTGCCGGATAAGGAGGGAGCTCACCACTCGATGCCACCACTGCCCCGCGCCGGAGGACACGGCGCACCACACCCTGGTCGCATGCCCAGCATGGGCCGGGGAGCGTCGTGTCCTCTGCGGGGCGGTGGGGTGCCAAGAGGGGGAGCTCTCGCTCCCGCAAATGGTCAAAGCCATGTGCGGGAGCGAGAAGGTGTGGTCAGTGGCGGTCTCCTTCTGCGAGACAGTGATGTCCCAGAAGGAGGCCGCCGAATGGGGGCGTCGGCCGCACCGGGGCTGCGGGGAGCAGCTCCCGGGCGGCAGACGCCCCCAGGAGGACGATGGGAGCGACAACGGGCTCGGGGCAGCGCCGGCCGAGGAGGGCTCCCAGACCCGCGAGGGACGGGAGCTCCCTCGGCCGCCCCGAGCCCAATACCGGCCCCAAAGGGGGGAGTAGGGGGCAGCGAGACGCCTTCCCTGCCTTCCCCCTCCCAAGCGACCGGATAGGTAAGTGCCCCGGTTGGGGCCGGGCCCGCTCCCCTACAAATCCTCCCCTCCCTGACTAGCAGGGAGGGGGGTAAGGAGGGGGGTGGTTGTCCCCTCCCTCCTTGGTAGGAGACACCAGAAGGCCAACCGACGGGGGGTAACCCCCGCCGGGGACCGCGCCCTGGATTCCCTTCGTGGAACAGGGCGCGGTACACAGGTGGCGAGGGGCTCCCGGAAGGGAGCCCTGGGGCGGGGGGTTGGGGAGGGAATACGGGAGTAGTTCCCCTGACTCCCCTCCTCACGGTCCGACAGGTAGACATCCCGCAGGGGTTTTAGTCGGTAAGAGTCCGACATAACCCCCTCCCCCCCAAGGGGAGGGGGTATCCATGAGGGATTTCCCCTGCGTGACCAAAAAAGAAAAAAGGGGGTATGGGGAAGAGGCAAAGCCCCTCTTATATGTACTGTTTCCTACTTTTCTATTGTATATATACACTGTGTTTGGATTAACTGTATGGAAAAATTTATGAAACTTCATTTGTTCATAACTTTGTTATAAACAATGAGCGCAGATTAAAACTTTCAGAACATTACTCGTTACAGAATAACATTACGGAACCTTGATAACATATGTGAAAATTATTGACAACGAAAGGTGGTCCCTATTTCTGCATAATTACCAAAAAAATTTTTTGGAATTAAAAGAACAGATGAAGTTGTAGGTCAATAGTAGGATGAATATATGCATGTATAGGATATGTATAGAATGTGCTCATTCGTTAAATATGTACACAGTGTCGGAAAATTACATTCTATTTATGAAACTGATTTTGTTAATTATTTTTTAATAAACAATGAACGACAGCTGAAAAACGGTTCAGGAAGATTGTCACTCATGTGAACAAAACAAATTGTCTGTTTACAGTGTGAGCAATTTACATGGTGTCCAAAAATTGTGTTCATTATATTCAACTTCTTTCTTTAATAACTTTTTAATAAATAATGAGCGACGGTTAAAACCTTTTGAAGGTTATTCAGTAAGATGTCCTCTATAACATATATCAAGGTCGAAGTCATTGGAGCTGACTCCCCTAAAGTGAACATTTACCCATTTTTGTAAAGTTCCTGCAGTTCCTCTCTTTGTGCGATGTGGGAGCACATTAGATAAACGAAAAAAAATTCCGATGGATAGAAAAGTATAATAAATGTCTTCTTTTGCAGTATTTCGTAATACGAGAAGATGCAGGGTTTGTATCTGTTATCGCAAATGATACAAAAGCTTATCGACCTTTGATAAGTAGAATAAAAGAGGATGATAAGTAAAATAAAAAAGGAAGAAAAAGTATGATAGGTGTACATATATTTACGTAAATATCGTAGACGTTCGAGTTGGAAAATACATTTGCTACACTATGTGTGACTAGGAAGAAGATGGTAGAGCGCGACTGAAAGTACGAAGATAAAATTAGCTGCTGCTGTCGGCTGGCCGGTCGAGCACTGATACACGTGACTGAAGAGTTCTTTGTAAGCTTCCACCGTTTTCGTCGACGACGTTGTGGAAACCAGACCGGACGTGGAATCCTTGAAGAGAAGGTTGTAAGTACCGTTGAACGGGCCGTAGACATGGATTGGTCTCTCGGCATCCACGCGATATCCTAGCCAATCTTCCATTTTCAAAAGGGCCAGCAGTATATCCGTAGTGTCGGTCTGCGTATTATTTTTCCGTCCGACAACCTGAAAGAATACATCGCATTTTAATCCCTCATTTCATTCTTCTTTCAACTTTCCTCTTCTTCCTCAAGCTGCTCTCACCTCACTGTCGATTATCACCGACAACGGGCAGGTATCGTCGACATGGAACCCGGGATTTGCAGCCAGGCTTCCATTCTTGCACAAAATGCGGTAGTCATCTGGGTTAGTAGCGTCGTCTGTAAAATCAATCGAATGCCTTACGACTCTTTCTTTCGTGGAAGGTTACATCACAATCGGGTGAAATTTGACAATAACACAAAACGCGGTTACTTGAAGAGCGGTAAGAGCAGGGGCGCCGACTTGGGAAAAATATTGGGGGGCAAGAAGTATTGATCTTTTCTTAGTAGTCCTTATATTACCAGGGGGAGGGGTGAAAGTATTTAGAAGTATGTAGGTTATATAGGATGTTAAAAGTTAACTTATAAGTTAGGACATTTTGAATTAAAAAAAATGTCATGCCGTCCTTCTTTTTCTCACTCAATCTTGCACGCATTGCTGGGAAATTGAGCCCGCGCATTGACAAGCAGTGACAGCTCAACTCTGAATAGAGTAAGGCATGCGTAATATTTTTTCATTTGTATTATTGGTTGTTTTGTATATTTGTATATGGTTGTTAAATAACCAGTAAAGAGGGTAAAATTATTGGAGGGGCGACGCCCCTCCAATAAAATTATTGAGAGGGCCAAAAGTGCTCTGCTCCTCCCCCCTAAGTCAGCGCCTATGGGTAAGAGTATATATTAAAGTAACTTGAATAGTACTGATATAAGAATAATCAATTCGGCAAAAATATGCAAAATGTTCGCGCGATTGATTCACGTCTGATTGATCGCCCTGATTGATTATAATGATACTAGCGTACTCGAGGAAACACGCCTTTTTACCCTTCAGATCCAGGAAACTCTTTATGGGATAGTTATTATCCGCTGAACTGCGCACCACGGCGATTGTCTCACTATTCTTGTCCGTTTCGGTTTCGCAGTGCAAGACCGTTTGTATCGCGGGATGATGACGGATAATCGTCTCACCATTGATGTTTCCCACTTCCACGAATGCGATGTCGCCGGCACTCTCTGCGAGGCAATGCATGGCTCCCTTATCGTTGTAATAGCGATTGGTGCTGTTCACCGCGCAAGACGTGTTATTCGAACGCATGCAAGCAGAGCAGAGCTTGGTCGACACATCGGCCGAGGCGCTGGTGCGCGAGTGGTCGCGGTCTTTTATTCCGGGGGTGCAGGCTCCGGAAAATAGCTTGGATGCCAAGAGCGGGTAGTCACAGGACGTGGACGAGATGATTCCCGTCTTCCTCGCGATGTTGACGAAACTCAGCCAGCTGATACCAGCGTACTCGGGGAAACACGCCTTTTTACCCTTCAGATCTTGGAAACTCTTTATGGGGTAGTTATTGTCCGCTGAACTGCGCACCACGGCGATTATCACGCTATTCTTGTCCGTCTCGGTTTCGCAGTACAAGACCGTTGACAAGCCGTAAACTCTGCGTACATGACGAACAGAGAGAAGACAAGTAGGATCGTGGCATAAAAATAACATAAAAGCGAAAGCGTGAGAAATCTCTCGAATATATTTCTCGATATTTAGATCAAACATGAGCTCATGTATGAAGCTAAGATACTCAAATTAATGGAGACTTTTTTCACGTCCAGTCGATCATAATTTGAAATGTCATGCTTACTTCCGCGCCACATAGCCGTAATTGGAGTCGATGGTGATTATGTCCGCTTGTTGCTCAGATATCTTGCGTAAACATTCGAACACGGTGTTCGACTGGACGCAAGAAATGCGCGGCTCGATGCCGAGCGCCATCATGGCTCTCGCCACCCATCTGCATTTATTCGTGTCCAAATCGCCGACCGTGCACCAGCGGATAGTCCTGTCGCAGGTCTGCCCGCCTGCGAGATCGATGTCCCTTCCTTTGCTCAAATACGCTGCCAAGGACAACTTTTCCGTCATGTTGATGGCCAAGCTGTCCTCCTGTATAATTTTGCTCAGAGTCAACTTCCAGATTTCGCTCGAGTCTGCTCTCAGCCAGTTCGGCAGCTTGGTCCTGAGAATGTCCGCGACCTCTCTGAAAGCCAATATTTGTCAGCGAGATGCGCGCTCGAACAGTTTGAAAAGAAGTTATAGCAAACAACTCCCAGACACTTCTTTCTTGAACCAACGAAAAGATCCAGATAGGTAAAGGATAAGGGAAGCCGTGTATTTTACTTCCCGAAATTAGCTACTCTCTCTGCTATTATATATTATCTTATACACAGGTTGCAAGTTTTATGGATTGCCATTGTTACTCGCGTACGTTCTAGCGGCGACGACGCTCCACGGTTGCTTGATCCATGCGCACGGAGTCGGAGAGCTCAAAGGAAGCCTTTCGCCATTCGGACACAAGAATTCGAACGTGTTGTTCGTCTGGGCGAGAAATAGCAGATCAGTGATGAAAGAGAACGAAAAATAAAAAGAAGGTAAATATGCACATTAGGTCAACCTCCTCAAAAGTTCATGACCTTGATATATGTTGTCAAGGACATGTTCCTGAGTGTTATGCAAAAAGTTGCAGCCGTCGCTCATTGTTTATTAAAAAGTTATTAACAAAAGAAATTTAAAAAGTAGAAAACTTTCCGACACCATGTATATATTTAAGAAATGAATATACACGTATTATGAAACGTATTATACACGTGCTATATACGATATGTTTTACGATTTATTTACATCTCTCTCTCACCAATTTCAACGATGTTGACATATGTTATTAAGGACATGAAGCAAGCTATAATAATGTAACATTTAAGGTTGGGTTAAGTTAATTCTTCTCGCGGGTGGGGGGCGCAGCTCCTCGTCTCCTATTCAAGAATTAATACGTATTCATTTCTTAAATATATATTATACATGATGTCGGAAAATTTTCTATTTTTGAAAAATCTTTTGTTAATAACTTTTTAATAAACAATGAGCGACGGTTGCAATTTTTGCATAACATTCAGGAACATGTCCTTAGCAACAACATATATCAAGGTCATGAACTTTTGAAGGGGTTGACCTAATGTGCATATTTACCAAAAAGGAATAAAAAAGTAAAAAGAAATAAAAGAAAAACAAATGTCTTATCATTAGCGAATATTAGAAGAGTAGAGAAGCTATTGTTTGCAGCGGACAATTTACTAACATCCAATAAGATCGAAACAAAAACTTCGCATGGGGTGAAAATTCACGACAGTCTTCAAGGATTCACCGACCCCGACCACAGCTGGTGTATCTTTACCAAGAGATGTTACTTCACAAGAAGGTTTATTGTGTAGCAACTTACCTTGAGATATTGGCGCACGTAACTGAGCGCCACGTACGCCACGTTACCTCGGCGGTTAGTCAGACACTCGAGAGCTCCGCGATGTCCGTGATTCGCTTTATTGTTGTAGGTGCAACCTGCCTGGTTGTCGCAGAGGGCACAAAGTTCTGGATATTTCCTCTCTTCGGGAAGAAACGAATAATGAGTGCGTTAAGAGCGGAGAGATTGCGGCGAGATAAGATCGCTTCGACAATAGATTGTTCGATAACATGAGACTCACTCAATTCTTGGTCAATGGAGCTGTCGGAGACCCATTCGCCCGGCCTGCATGCCTTCCCAAAGAAACTTCGGAGATTTCTGGCCTCGTTCTCAGCGACGCTCACGTTCTCGCGGCATTCTGCAGAATTCACCGTTTTCTCGAAGTACTTGAGTATGTAATCGTTCCACCATTGGGACTTGCTGAAGCCGGGGTGACAAAGGCCACCGTTCTTCAGGTTGTCGAAACCCGCGCCGGGTGGGCCGATCATCTGCGTCAGATCCGCGCGCATCACCGCCACCGTTTGGAACTCGAATTCCTCTGTGGAAATTCAATGACGCTTTCTCACCTGTGTGTCTCCGTTCCCTCGCTTCTCGTGCGATGCGGAAGAACACCGCAAACCCGAGTGTGTTATTTCGACGCGTATAAGCTGAAGCTTCCTTTACGCGTATCTTGTCTTGTCTGAAATCACGTCGTTTAACGCGTTTAAACGCGTTAAGTGATATCGAAATGCATCAAATGACGTGATTTCAGACAACAAGGAAAGCGTGAAGAAAGCTTCAGTTTATACGTGTCAAAATAACACACTCGGGTTTGCAGTGAGATACCGATCACCTCGGAAGAAAGTGGCTTCGATCCGAATTGTGCGAATCGTGCTAGTTTTCGAGATAATTAAGGAGAGATCGAGAAACGGCAGATTCGGTACTCGATATTACCCAGTGGCTTGTCCCTGTGTCTCAATTGCTGAATGGGCACGATGTTGTTCTGGTAGAACGGGTACGCCAGCAATAATTCCTCCGCATTGAAGACGCCAAAATCAGCCTCCCCCTGCGCCAAACGAATCGCACAGTCGGCGCTGTCCGCCACGCGAAAGCATGATACCTCGCTGTCCCCTCGTTGCAGAGCGAAGCACGCGTTATCGTTTATCGTTTCCACGGGAGCGCAGAACTTGTCTGAAATATCGCACATCGATCGATATACGTGCAGCCTCGAGGTCGGATTTTTCACGGGGTTTCATTTCGAACGGACAAATAGAGATACCGATGCAACGAATCCCACACAGCAGAAATGTTCAAATTGATGTTGAATTTTCGGTGATTGGATAATGCTTCCTTGAAGCGTACAGATTGTGGCAAAATCGTGACAAGAGACACGTGCATCTCGAATTGTATTTGCTTGTCCTTAGTAATACAATCATCGGTTGAATTTTTGCGCACCCGACGGAAATACAAGAGCGGCTAGTTCACGTGTGGGAAAACGATAATTCCGGCGGAAAGTATTTACGGATAAATCTCTGAGTTCTGTCTCACACGGCAGAAATATTCAAAATATATCACAGGGATGTTCTGAGGATATTGTGGCATTCTTAAAATATCTCTGTGATGTATTTTGAATATTTCTGCTATTTAGTTTTTTGAATATTTCTTTTACTAAGGACGAGCAAATACAATTCGAGATGCACGTATCTCTTGTCGATTTTGCCACAATCTGTACGCTTCAAGGAAGCATTATCCAATCACCGATACCTTCCGTGGCGCCAATATATTGCAACACGACATATCGCCGCGATAATTAAAATTAGATTACTCGGACGCGCGAGATCAAATAGAACGGAGATAACGATAACATTCTACGGATTATCTTGATTCACTGCGGATGCGAATCCGCAGATCATTGATGCGAGTACACTGAGAATTCAGCAATTATTTGTTTTAATAATAAGACGTTCTGTCGCCGGACCACTCGGGATGCGAGACCCTTTAACACACGTGTGATTAAGAGGGCCATTATTAACGACACAGTGTGACGTCGCCGGTGTGATGTTGCCGCATTATGACACCACCGCATCGCGTCAAGCCGCGTATAATTACTTTCATACTAAGAAACTGGTTGTACGGGCGGGAAGAGCCGATTCAATGGGGTGAGAGACACGTATGCGTTTCACGTTGCATTTATCTTTTTTCCTTTTGCGTTTGCGTATCTTCAGCGACTCAATCGTCGGCTGAGTGCGACCGGTGGAGATCAGCGCGACACTCGTCGCGGTGATCAATGCGCGCGAGGTAATTGAAACACTTTCGATGGAAGAATGTCGAGCGGCGGGATTTCGTGACTTACATTTCAATTGTGCGTTTGCGAGCGCGGCGAGCAGGATCACCAGAACGATATTCCTCATGATCGATTCTCGGACGATATCTAACGACAGTTTGATGAGGACTGGGACGATCAAGTCTCTTTCTGCGGCATGAACAGGCACACAGGCGGAACTAGGTGTGCCGCCTGCCTCTTCGCACGAACCGAATGATAAGAAGCCTCCGATAACGAACGCACACGCCCTGTATACACACACACATATACACACACGCACGCACACGTACACGCGCACGTACTACGTTACTTGAACATCGGTTCGTAATCGCATCGTCCAATCCTTCGGAGATTGAACCGTTGACGCAATGTGTGAGCCATCTCAATCGGTGCGTTCACGTACTAAAATGCCTCGAACGATCTCTTCTACTCGACCTAGAACTTGCGACGGAGTTCTATGCGCAAAGCGTATTGGCTAGGTCGCACTTTCCCCGCCGCTCTCCTCGCAATTTTTCTTTCAATCTCGATCGTGTAGAAAAATTTCGCAGGCCAGTAAAAAGTAATATACCTAATTCTAAACGTATATATTGAGAAAGGGTACGACTGAGATTTGTCTAAAGTTACAGAATTGCATTCGAGGTATGTGCGATAAAGATAGATGTGATAAGATCTGTCGCTAAGTTGTAGGATATCGGTTTTATTATTTTTGTAGCTTCTTCCGGCGGATCCTCGATGAACTTTGACACCTTTAACATCTTCCTTCGCGCACAGATTCATAATTGCTCAATTACGTCACAGCAGGTGTTTTGCCAATGACGTGATATCTTCGACACGCAACGGGAATTATCTGCTTATCGGGTAGCGATAACTTTCAGAGAAAGTAGTCGGCGGTGACTAAATGTGGACATCGAATGTTTCATCGACAAGTAAATATTTGCCGATTCTTTTCGGCTAGATTTGTATAAACGCAGCACAGCTCATCACGGAAACTGTGTGTGTGTCTCAATCGAGTCGCTGAAGTTACCGCGAAAACTAATTGCGCACATTTGTTACGGATAGAGATCGAGACGCAACGCAAACGTAATCGCATTCTTGCAGATTGAAATATTGCAAACTACAATACACTCGCGGCACAATACACTCGCGGTTACGCGGTAACCCGCAAATCTTTGTTCTTGATAATAACGAGATAACATTCACAGCCGTATTATATCACTTCTAGAACAAAATACTCAATCCCGAAGCTGTCATAAAAAATCTTGCTCGCACGAGCGACGGAATAATTAGCGAATAATTATGAGTCTATATAGAGACGAGTAGCTCCGCGCGTTCGCTCAATTTCGTACCGCGAATGAAACAAGAGTCATTTTCAGAGCTGCTTCTTCAGAAATGATTGCGTTGGTGACATCATTTGCGACGATTCTCGGTATGTTTGCACACAATAAAGCAATAATCAATAAGAGAAAGAGAGAGAGAGAGAGAGAGAGAGAGAGAGAGAGAGAGAGAGAGAGAGAGAGAGAGAGAGAGAGAGAGAGAGAGAGAGAGTGAGAGAAAGAGATCAGTTGCGCAGGTCGAAAAAGTACGAAGGAATAAATAAAATAAATAAATTGAGAGATTAAAGCGGGGAACAATTTTTCAATTAATAAGACGTTACATAATTCGATCTTATATCGAATGAGTGTCATTAGCTAGACAATTCAGCGATGAAAGCGATATCGTATAACCATGGATATTCGCTTGCATCCTCAGGATACAGCGCGATACGCTGCGTTAGCACGCAGCAAATCAATCAAACGTATTCACCGTCAGCGTTTATTTGCGCGGATGGCACCGTGGCGTCATTAACGAGCATCTGCGATGGAGTCCCTCATTGCCCCGACTCTTCGGACGAAGTCGCAGCATTATGCCGTCACGTTCTGTAAGATTGTATTGATTTCGTCAGTCATTTCGGTCACTAAGTTGCTGGATATCTTGGACTCGTTGATCGTTGGTAATTTTTCACCTGCTGACCCGAGGTGGAGAGCCAAAAGTATCATTTCTTTTTCTCTCGCTTTCGTAGGTGTCCGACGCACATGTACAGGTGCAGTTATGGTGCTTGCGTGACTCGCGCGGCACGCTGCGACGGCCTGACGGATTGCGTGGACGCCAGCGACGAGTTCGCCTGCGACCGCGATCTTAATGACGTCTGCTCCGATGGCGAGTTCCAGTGTTCTACTCCTCGTCGAGAGTGCATATCTATTCGCGAGGTGTGCAACGGTACGTGTTTGCCGGGAGGACACCTGTAGAATAGGCTCGTTGTACGCCGGGATATTCCAGCTGAATAAAATCGTTTGAATCCGCAGCCCGGAGGGGATCCATTGTACGCTTGGATGCGTTGATGACACTCGATGCGCTCAATAGCATAATTTGTAATGCTCGAGCAAATCAATTGCAGCAATTGTATCAATTCGTAAGAAACAAGTTCCAAAGAAGGGAGTGAAAAAGTCAGCGATATTGGCCCAAACTGCAAATCTTTAGAACCTAACGGATTATCTTGTATACCACAGTAATAGTTGTAAGACAATATTTTTTAACCAAAAAAATGACAGCAACATGGCAAAAATGAATCAAAAAGGTCCAAATATTGGCTACTTAAGGTAATGAGTGGACAGACTTAACCCATTGAATTTTATGCTTTATGACTACGTGAGATACTATCAAAATAACGTATATAAAGGAAAAAGAATAATATGAAAGTCATGTAAAAGTTCAAGAAAGAGCGATTGTTTAAAAAAAATTTTTTTAAAGACGGAATCATGCGACTCCACACTCATTACTTTCGCAGTTTACGACTCCAAACTCTTATGCATGCATAAGTCCCTAGGTGCTTAGATGTGAGTATGAGTGTGGGTGTGAGTGTGGATATGAGTGTGCGTGCATGTGTGTGTGTTGTACAGAGACCCCGCGGTTCGTCGCTCTCACAATATTTTACGACTCCAAACTCCCTTTCTATGCATGTACACGACTGTGTGTGCGTATGTATGTATACACCCTGTCTCAAAAATATCGGACCTCCCGAACAACTTTGCAGGATCGCATTTTCATGAAAAATTTTAAATACAAAAGTTATAGGAAATCGAATAACGGACTTGATGGTGACCTTGAATTTGACCTTAGCCATGACCTTCAAGGTCATTTGGAGGCCAACTTGAAAAATTTAAATAGGAATCCCTATTTTTTATTACACTGTTTTTTTCTACCACTTAATTTGAACAACTTTTGTCTAAAACATTTTTTCATTTGCCTAATATTTTTTGAGATATTTGAGGAAAACTTAATAACTTTTTCAATATTTAACTTACGATATCTCGCTAACTATTTGTCGGAAGAAAAAGTGCTACTAGACTTTCTTGCTTTATTTAGTCTCAAGAATATATTGTTACAATAGTGCCGTGATTTTTGTTAATTTGATGATTTTGAAATTTCCAAGAATCAGTAAGTTAACAAAAATCAGGGCGCTATTGTAACAATATATTCTTGAGATTAAATGAAGCAAGAAAGTTTAGTACCATTTTTTCTTCCGACAAATAATTAGCGAGATATCGTAAGTCAAATATTAAAAAAGTTATCAAGTTTTCCTCAAATATTTCAAAAAATATTAGGCAAATAAAAAAATGTTTTTAACAAAAAGTTGTTCAGACTAATTCGTAGAAAAAAACAGTGTAATAAAAATAGGGATTCCAGTTTAAATTTTTCAAGTTGACCTCCAAATCACCTTGAAGGTCATGGCCAAGGTTAAATTCAAGGTCATCATCAAGTCCGTTACTCGATTTCCTACAACTTTTGTATTTGAAGTTTTTCATGAAAATGTGATTCTGCAAAATTGTTCGGAGGGTCCGGTATTTTTTAGACACCCTGTATATATTTGTGTGTGTGTCTTTTTACGTGTACGTAAACAACCGATGAAAACTGTTTGCAATTAAATCACCGGTCGAGAATTAGTGCGCATACGCACATACCCACCCACCCACATACATACACACACACACACACGCATGCACACTCACATCCGCACTCACACCTACACTCATACCCACACCTAAGCACCTAGAGCCTTGAACATGCATAAGGAAGGAGTTTGGAGTCGCAAAATACTGCGAAAGTAATGAGTATGGAGCCGCATGAATTTGTCTTTAAAAAATTTTTTTTAAACAATCGTTCTTCTTTCTTGAACTTTTACATGACTTTCATATTATTCTTTTTCCTTTATATACGTTACTTTGATAGTATCTCACGTAGTCTAAGCATAAAATCCAATGGGTTAAGTCTGTCCATTCATTACCTTAAGTAGCCAATATTCGGACCTTTTTGATGCATTTTTGCCATGTTCCCGTTATTTTTTTTGGTTAAAAAATGCTGTCTTACAACTACTACTGTACGGCATACAAGATAATCCGTTAGGTTCTAAATGTTTGCAGTTTGGGTCAATATCGCTCACTTTTTCACTCCCTTTTTTGTATCACTAGATCAAGCGCGAAGCTGAGAGAAATTATAGCGAGCCTATTTTGAGAGATACTCGTTCGGCACTCGAGAGACTTGAAGGTGGAGTCTATAGGCAGCCTTCTTCGCCAGGTCACGAAGACTGCTCGGACGGGAGTGACGAGAACGTGACGACCTGTCGCGAGTACTTGTGTCCCGAATACACGTTCCGTTGTTCTTACGGAGGTTGCGTGCACCAGGAAACGGTCTGCGACGGTGTGAAGGACTGCGTCGACGGCAGCGACGAGGACGCTAGCATGTGCGCGGCGGTTAATTGCGAAGCTGAGGAATGCACGCGGTATAAGTGCAGGTTGGTCGACCGATCGATAAAATCATTCGTATTCTTGTTGATGAACGATCGTCGACGCGTTCAGACGAGGCTGGTGGTCGGACAATCGACGTATTGGACGTTAGCTTCGTCCCCACCACTTGTCTTCCTTCAGGAGCAAACCAACCGAGCAAAATCCCTCACTGCTTTCGCGCTGATCACTCGTCATTTAAATGTGTATCTCCCGTCGATCGAGAATTGAGATTGTCTTGTCCTGCCGTTTCTTCGCAGGGACGAGGAATTCACGTGCAAAAGCGGGCCGCAGTGCTTATCGATAGTCAAAGTATGCGACGGCATTCGGCACTGCAGAGACGCGTCCGACGAAAGCGCAGAAATGTGCGGAGCGCGTGAGTACGTAATTTGCATGCAAATCGCTCCGACATGGAAGCGGTTATCCCCCCCTCCCCCTCCCCCCTCCCCCGCCTCCCCCTCTTCCTCGCGGTTGCACGAAACAAAACACACATCGGTCTCATTGATTATTCCGCGTTTACAGATGTCCCGAAAATTGGTTCCGCTGCGCGTACGGCGGTTGCATTCGACCTGAATTAAAATGTAACTTCCAGCTCAATTGTTACGACTGGAGCGACGAACAGGAGTATCTGTGCGGGCTAACGCTGCCCGAAGGCGCTTGTCGGCTACCTGCGGCCAAAGCGGCGACGCATTATAGCGTAAGCGGATGCTCGTCGTGCCGGCCGGGTGAAATTGTTCCCGAATTCACGCGTCTCGATTACACCTGCGACACGGAGGGTTCTTTGCAAGGTCCGAGCGAGGTTTATTGTCGGGACAATCGCTGGTCCCCTATCGTTCCGAGTTGCATCGCCGGTGAGTAACCCTCGTCACCTTCCCTCGGCACGCGACGATTGTCCACAGGGTGGGTTGCGACGAATTTACCTCCGGTAATATGAGATCCGTTCTCAAATGAGCTCAAGGGTCCGGTCTGATGGGCGACGAAAGTCTCAGTAGCTCGAAAGGGTGAAGGAAGAGAGCATAAAAAATAATGACACGAAATAAGACACACACGTGCGTATGTACGGGAAATATTTCAGGAAACCAGTCGGAAGGGATAACATGTCCGGCGCTTGTCGAGGCGCACGGTGCGCTCCAACGATGCCGGGCGATGTGGGGTCGTCATGAGGGGTGGCTGTCCTGCGACCGAGCCCTTCCAGTCGGCACGCGAGTTCTTCTGGAGTGTCCGGCTTTCTACGAGCGTCGTAAAGGATCTTCGAGCATCGTGTGCCTCCACGACGGCACATGGAGTCAGACTCCGCTGAAATGCGTTCCTACCTGTGGCGTGAGAGACTCCACAGGTTCGCCAATCGATGCTCTCGCGTCAGCCAATGAAAACAATAGTTGAATGGGTGCCAATACTAAGGCTCGGTCTACAGTAGCTGCGGAAAGCCTTTTAGCCATTTGCTCCGAGTTCTATAATTTAATAAAAACATTTTCCACCCTGCTTTAGGCTCTTGACTGGCGGAATATTGCGCTTTGATATTTCTAGCAGTTTAATAGTTTTGTTATGATACAATTTATCGCTATAAATTATATTTATTCGTTATTTTGGTATTTGTTACTTTTCAAAGATGTCGGATAAAAATTTTGTGTATCTTCGCTATTTACCATTTTCTTATAGCAGATTATGATGAGATAAAATTATGATTTTAGCCGCCACGTTGGATACAGAACTTTGAAAAATTTTAACTTTATACTCGTAAATAAGGACTTCAAGAAGCTCTAGACATAGCTTTTCAATGACATTGCTTAATTTACGAAAATCCATTTCTCGCCAGCTCGAGCAAGCGAAATTCAGCTTGCCAGTCAATTGGAACCCAGCTTAGTACAATTTTGCTCGCTTAGTACAATTTTGAGCAAAATTATTTGAAACGAAAGGTTAAAGGCTTACTATCTACCATGTAGATTCGGATCAGTTCAATCCAAACGAGCCTCAAATAATCGCTCGCTATTGATACATGCTAAGAAATCAGGCGTGACAGCGAATCGCTCAGCTATTCCGTGATTTAGCCGCAGCACTGATCGTAAGGGGATGGCGCGTGGAGAAGGAGGAGACGCTACCCTGGCAGGCGACCCTGTTTTCGCACGAGGACGGCGAATGGAGATTCTTCTGTGGCGGCACGCTCATAGCGGAACGCGTTGTATTGACCGCCGGCCATTGCCTCTGGAAAACCTCCACGGACACGGTGCGCGTCGCTCTCGGGATTCTCTCGAGCAACCTGACGGAAGCGGGCGAGAACGCGCAGGTGATCGACGTGGAGAGCATCAGACTGCAGAGCGCGTATCAGGACCATGAGAGTAACTACGGATCGGACATTGCGTTGCTGATCTTGAAGAGAGCCGCGGCCATCGACTCGATCGTTTCACCCGTCTGCCTTCCTCAGCATTTCGATGTGACATTGATGGAAGCTCAAGAAAACGGCGGATTTGGACTGGTCGCTGGTGGGTAGCTCGGTAGCTCGGAATAAGGAAAAACTCAGCCCGGTTTCTGCTTTAGTAAATGTCTCATCTAACATATCGGAAGAATTCTCGGTTCTTTTCCTTGTTGAGGTTTTATGACGTTGATACGCATGCGATGATTGCACGACTGACCTGAACGAGCGGCTTCTAGAGTTGTGAAAGCTTTATAGGCATGGGTCTGACGGAGAACGACACGTTTAGCGCGACCATGAGGATGACCACGATGAAAATCGTCTCCGACGAGGAGTGTCGGCAGAATCAGAAGAGGGACTTTCGCAAGTACCTAACTTACACGTCCTTCTGCGCCGGCTGGGCTAATGGCACCGGGGTATGCAACGGGGACAGTGGCGGCGGACTGGTGATCCAGCGGCCGAATTCCAGCGTCTGGGAGGTGCACGGAGTCGTTTCCGTGAGCCCGCGTAGACTGGGCACCAGCGTATGCGACCCAAATTTCTACACCGTCTTCACCAAGGTGCGTGAAGCACAGAAAAGAGAAACTTGTTGTTGTGGAAATTCCATCATGTGGGTGCTGTTCGCCTACGTGGGTCGCGTCACTTCACTAAATAGCGTTTATCAAAAACACACAGGTTTCGGTGTACATCGATTGGATCGATCAGGTTGTGGAGAGCGTACCAATTAGCGGCCCGCCCAGTCTTGGTCGACACCCGAATACGGACGATATCATCGTTAGATGAAGTCTCCGACAGCTAAGCACTTTCCACGATAACTCGATAATTGTCCTCTCTGCGACGAACTTCACTGTTGCATCGAGCTGTACGCGCACAAATACACGGACACAAACATATCGATAAGTCGAATATCGGCGTCGCCAATTCCGTTCCTGTTAATTCCTTCCTCATCGCCCCTCGTCGTGAAACAAAAGAACCCATTCCACCGCGAATGCAAGCACGCACGTATCGGTGACACGCCGAAACGGCTCGGTGCTCTCGTAGATTTCACATCATCAATTGAAAACGTCGAGATAGGCGGAAGCTCGTTCGAGCTTTGAAATAGCTGTTGCGAGGAGCTTGAATACGCCATGAATACATCCGTGACGGGTATAAAGTACAATAACGTGTACATCACGCCTGGCCATATAGAATTCGCCGAAGCCCTCGAAGGCGTCTCGTACAGGCGATGCATCACCGTCAAGAACATCGGCAGCAGATCCACGTTCATCAGGATTCGCCAGCCGAATTCCATAGTAAATATCCCACGATACTCACGCGCTAATCGGAAGCTAGAGAAACACCAAAGAGAAACGTTTCCTCCTTTTCCTTTCATACGCGCGACCTACAAAGATACGTCGTACACATGCACGATTAAGCGTCATTCATAAGAAGGAAGGGCCGCGTGTTTCTTCCGAGAGATAAGAATCCGTCGCAGTAAGTAGAGTGCTTGAACAGGCGTTTCGAGTGGAAACCTCGAGGAACGACACGCAGCTGAGTCCCGGGTTAAGCCTGACAGCTTGCGTGACCTATACCTTCAAGAGACCATCCCTGTCGCACGCGATAATCCCGATCGAGATTGACGGGAAGTTCCTGGACTATCGCGTGGTGTGCACACTCGCCGTCGAAGGCATCAGTATCGAGCCGAAGTCGGTGGATTTCGGTATCATCGATGTAGGTTACAAGTCCGGCCTGAGAAGCATCACGATCCGCAACAAAGGCGGCAAGAGGACCAGGTAACTCGCTCGTGCGATCGCTCAATCCATCGTCGCTTCGCGACGTAAATCTTTGACAATCGAGCCGTGACTCCTGCGGAGTCTGTAACTATTCGGGAAAATCGACAGGTTCTCGATCGACCTAGGGAAGAATGACCTGGACATCTCGGTGAAGCCGCTTCGAGGTACAGTGAAGCCTTCGGGAGAGGTGAATCTGCGGGTCGAATTAGTCGGCGCGCAAGAGGGCGTGTTTCACAGCGAATTCTGGTGAGAAACTCGCGGCTCGTAAGTTCTCCCGGCTCGACGGGAAATTCGGACGATTATCCGCAGGATCAAGTCCGTGCCGAATATTCGTGTCCCCATCAAAGTGAACGTCATCGCGCCGCGATTGGTAGTCTACCACCCGAACACGGCCGGGTGTTTCACCCTCGTCGATTTCTCGCCTACCATCGAGAATACCAGCAGATACGACACCTTCGTGCTGCGGAATCTCTCGTCTCGAGCCATCAGCTACGTCGTCCTCGGTGAGATGGACAGCGAAGTGAAGTGCATTCGGGTACGAAGCGATTGGCGGACACGCGCGCCTCATTAATCGATCAGCTTGTACCATGATAAAATCCCCGCAGGACATCGACCTTGAGCAATATCCGGCTCACAGCGTCTTCAAGATCCGCCCGATCGAAGGACGACTCGATCCGTTTCAAGGCGTTATCTTCGAGATAGAGTGAGATACGATTATTGATTATTGATCTCTTGCGAGATATACACGCGCGTGTTCGTCCGCGATTACGCAATCGTAATTGAAAAATTCGATCGAAGTGAAATCTGCTGAAAATTTACCGAAGAGTGCATCTTGTCGACGAGGAGAAAATAATTCTCAAATTCATCAGAAGGTGTATCGTTAGAATTAAGAGATCTCGAGAAACATTTCTTACTCGACAACTCTTACTCGTAAGCCTTGATTGTACTTTTCCGTTTGTTCATATAAATTAATTTATTTATTTATTTCTTAATAATATACGTGTCTGACTCCTTTGGTGTACAGTAATTGAGACAATAGTGTAAGAATTAAGAAGTTCTCATACAATAAAAAGGGAAGAAAAAATAAAAAAAAAGAAAAAAGAGAGGAAAAAAGAAAAGATAAGAAAAAGGAAGGAAGAAAGAAAGAAAAGAAAGAAAAAAAAATAAAGTAGAAGAAAAGGAGACAAAATTCCTTTTATCTTCCTAAAATCCTCGTGAAATGATCGCGCCTGCCGAATGACTTGCAGATTTTCGCCGACCGGCAAGTTATCGCAACGGCGACAAGCACGTCCACGGGCACAGCGTGAAAGCAAACATGAGGGTCGCGAGAACGGAGATTTTATAGCCTTCGTACGGATAGTTAAGGTGCATTGTGCTGAGTCGCGAGCGCACCGATTTGAGATGGAAGGTCTCACGGATGACAGTTGGTTTCACATGGGATAATTGACGTGACAACTGCACGCGGTTAAGTACGACTACTTTGTCTATGCATTCCAACAGAAGAAACAACGACGGAGGAGGTCTCCGCCCTGTCGTCGTCTCGCTCGTCGAGCACCGATTCGGAAGACGACACGATCAGACTCTGCCTGTACGGTGAAGTGGAAACGGCACGACTTTATATCGAGCCTGATATTCTTTATTTCGGCGACCTGCTCGTCGGCCAGACATCACAGCGTGTACTTCGCCTGACGAATCTCTCGGCAGTCGCGCCGATATACCTGGAATACGTGCCGAATGCAGCAGCACATTGTTGTCCAAAATCACTGAGGCTTCGGTCGAAATCGTCCATCGAGGTTCTCGTTAGGGTTCGAGGCAAAGAGAGCGGTAATTGGACGCAATCAGCGTTTCGACACGTTCTCAACGCGGCGAATCGATTTTTTTCGCCTTTTCCATCGTCTCGTCATTGTTTTCATGCAGAAAAGATAGAAAAGAGTGAGAGATAATTTTCAATCCTCGTTACAGTTCAATCTTCGTTCAAGCTGCACTTCGACGTCAAGGCGGACTCTTACAACTCGACTGCATCGAGACGATGCGTCGAGAAGATAAAAATTGGACGTTATACCGTGGAGTGTACAGTGAATATTATTTTCAAGTCTAAGCAAGGATTCTTGAGTAAGTCCACTAAGGGAAGTTCTCAACTTCCTCTTTCCGATTTTGGTGAATTCCATTGTAGGTCGGTCAGAAATTTATTTTCGTTTGTTTATTTATTTACAAGAGTAATCCTTTCGGAGCAGTAGGTTTAATAACTATATGGGAAAAAATATAATATGGAGATAAACAAACAATAGATACAATATTAAAATAATAGTATCTTTATAATATTTTTTTCTCGCGCAAAATCCCATTTTCGGGAGATGAGTGTTGTAAACGTTGCCGCGCCTGTAAATAGTTGCCTGATGTGTTGCTTTCGACTTACTTATAAGAGCACGATACTTCGCATAACGCGCATCATTTTTCCACGCTTCTTCTTGCGAGCTCACCTGATGCGAACATGAGTTTTGAAATAATGTTTTGAAATCTGCTTTTCTTTTCTTTTTTGATGAAGGTGAAAGAAATTTGCCGATAAAAGCGACAGACGACGACGAGGAAATCATGAAACGAATTCTTTGTATGCCCAAACGGAAATACGACGATTATTCGGCACTGGCCGGTAGATTTATCTACTGTATGAAAAAATCCACTCTCGAGAAATCGATTTGCACGAGCAAAGCGGCCGTATTGATACCATTATCTCCTTTACAAATATACAATATCTACATTCACCCGACCTTGTTCGCCTTCGGCATGGTGGGTAGTTCAAAGTATAAACGTATGAAATAACGCACATAATGATATAAAAAAACGTTCGTTAATGCACAAGCATAAAAAGAAAAAAATATATATTACATATAAATTACATGCATAAAAATAAATATAACATATAAATATATATCTGTGTGTATATATATATATATATATATATATATATATATATACAATTGCCATATTACATATAATTGTAATATACAATTTAATATTGTTTATCGAGAAAAATTAAAGCAGCGATAATAATGCTCTGTCTTCGAACTGTGTATATATATATATATATATATAATTATCTTTTTTACAGAATCTATTTATAAAATTATTTCAATCCTGGGCGTATCTTGACCTATAGGTGGCACCGAATAGCCTCAACTATCGTGAGCTGGTTGCGAGGAACACGAACAATATTCCAGTGATGATACGATTGACAAGTTCGTCGAGCGACTGCATCCACTTTCCTGACGGCGACTTGATGATCTTGCCACCGGACTCGACGATGACGAAACTCGTCGAGTACCGTGCGAAAGACATCGGCAAGTTCAACGGATGCATCGGCTACGTGATCAATAATAATCATTTGTTCGACCTCAACGTCACCGCTTGTGTCGTTCCAAAGCAGCTGCACATTGATAAGAAAGAGATTGAACTTGGGAAGGAATGGTCGAGCGAGGAGGCTTATCGACCGCTGGCTTCCATCATTCGCGTTACGAACAAGTTAGGCGCGAGAACGTCTTTCAAGTAAGATCTCATCGTAAGACCAGAGTCTCTTCATCATCCCTTGCCTTCCTTTCGCTCGGAGATACTCCTCGGTTAATTGCTCGGTACATTCGGTAGACTTGGTTCGCGGAGGAGTCATGAAGCTCACGCGATTGCAAAATCGATTGCAGATGGGAGGTGCCGAGTGCCTCCGGTTTCTACATAGCACCAACATCCGGCGCCGTACGCGGCAACGCTACTCTGCACGTTTACGCGCATTACACGGCCGATTACGCGAGAGCCAATTACGTTCAAGCGATCATAAAGTGCGAAAGCGGCAGCTGCGTCTCCTTGCGACTCGGCGTGCCGCGGTTCGCGCCGAAGGTCGAGTTCCTGAACGACCACGCGAATCTCGGCGAGATACCGCTCAATCTGCCGAGCAAAGTGACCGCCGTTCTCCGGAACTTCGATATTAACGATGCGGTGTACGAGGTGGACAGCGCGTCATTGGCACACGGCTGCGACGTTAATCCGCCGCAAGGGAAAATACCGGCGCGCGGTATTGCGGTCCTCAAGGTGCGTCCTCGCCGTTGGACGGGGCTATAAAATCGACATTCGCCTTCGTGCAAGTCGCGATTAATCCGGCACTTACTCGTCTCGTCTCGTCTCTCGTTTTCAGCTCGAGTGACAGCTCGCTCGAGAATCGCTCCACGCGTTCTTGCGTCACTGCGAAAGGTCTGAACAAAACGTCCTACTAAAATGACACATGTTTTGCGATCGCTCAGGTGCAGCTTACTTTCGACGTCTGCTGCAGCTTCACCAGCGCAATCGCCGTCACGATTCAAGGGAGCGCCCGGTTGACGTACAGAGTCCACGGCAAGGTATCGTTCCCGCGACTGAGAGTCCTGCCGGAGCGGATAGAAATGAAACGCGTCAGTGCCGACGCCTGTCAGACACACCGGATCACAGCCGCGAATGTCGGGACAACAATATTAGGAGTACAATTTTTCTTAAAGGGGTATCCCGAATTTCGCGTCTCCCGGTCGGCGAACAGTAAAAACTCGGACGTGGGTAAGTAAGGAGTGAAGAGAGGGAGAGAGAAAGCCTCTCATGAACGAAGTTGAATCGACATCTCTCGATGGAGGCTCACGTTTTTATTTATTTATTTATTTATTTATTTATTTATTTATTTATTTATTTATTTATTTATTTATTTATTTATTTATTTATTACGTTTTTATTTTTTTATTTATTTATTACGTTTTTATTTATTAATTTAGTTTTATTTATTAATATTAGTTTTAATTGCATTTTGATAAATGTGCAGGTACAGAGAGCATAATCATTGCCCCGGGAGAATGCCAGAGTCTCTATTTGCACTTTCAACCGGTCGACCTGGCCAGTTACTCTTTCTACCTGCCGATGGTGGTGAACAAGTTGCTGGGGCCAGTATCGATGTTGAACGTCAGGAGCGTCAGGCCATCGGAATACATGAAATCGCGCGAAATTCGTTACGCAAATCTGCCAGACTTCATCATCGCAACACCGTTGCCCGATAAGCTAGCCACGGTCACCGTCGATTGCACCGTTGCCGCCCGCGTCGTCTCCTTCAGCAAACTGTTGTTTCAATTCAACGTCGCGACCAATGAGGCAAGGCTCCGAGCGTTTCTACTCCGACGAGATAAGGGATGGGTTTCAATCCTCTCGCGTGTCCGCGTTGCTGCGTGAGAAATCACGGATTTGATGCTTTAATCGAGTTTTTTATTCGACTTTGTCTCTGGTCGAGAGGTGGACACCGATGGACACGGTACTCTCGCCCCGGCAACATTGAAGATTTCGCACTTCGCGTCAGTCGGGGGATGTATCCCATTACATCGATAAGTTTAGCACTTACTCCTGCGTTCTCTCTCCGCCGTAGCTGTCCGAAGAATTATGTATAGCGAATCGGGTAATGCCGAGGCGAACGGTGCTGCTGTTAAATATTGAGGAATTCAGCCAATTCGATTGTCCATTCGGCATCGAGTGGTCTCGCGGCGCGGAGGTCAGAAGAACGTCCGATTCTATCGAGTGCACCTTATATCCCGGCGATTGCGTCTACTTCGTCCTCGAGTTCAAGCCGAGGAAACGCGGCAGCTTCAGCGTCGAGGCACCGATACACGTCCACGGCGAGCTCGACAGCGGCGTATTCAATAAATTACGTCTCGACGGCGAGTTCCCCGCCAGCACGATCGACGTAGAGCCGACGGAGGTGTATCTCACGCCTGTTCCTTTGGGCATGACGATAGAGAGAGGGTTTGCGATCCGAGCGGGCCACTTCGATAACTCGACTTCGATAGGTGTGCGCTCTTCGTCGACGTCGCGATGCAGCGGCGACTACAAGGACGGCCTAGTGCGCGTCGATTTTCCGAGTGGCAGTACCGTTCCTCCTCACTCGTAAGTCCAAATTTTCCTTCGAATCAGTTCTCTTCAACTTGACAGTTCCGATGAACTGCAAACAATACTAGTGTCTTTTATTGGGACCGATTTAGACGAGCTTCCGGCCGAGCACGAAATTATTCCATCTATGAATAATTACGACGACGTGGTTGGTTCTTAGACTTGTTTATCGGGCAAGAAAATGTTTAAAATATATGTTGCTTTTTGATTCATGTCGCAAATAGGTACGTGGTGCTCGAAGGAGTAGTGACGTTCAGGAGCGATCAACCGGTATCCCTTCGTTCGACGTTTGAGCTTCGGGACGACGATGCAAGCAGCGTGTGCTTTTTAACGGTGCACGCGGCGGCGGATAATAATTTGTTAACGATATACGCCTACCAAATGAGGTCGTTCCCTTTCGACGATACGTACGCGACAACTGAGCATTTGGAGAAACGTGTCTCCGCTTATTCTGTTACACCGTCGAATAGTGGAATGGGTGAGATTGATCAAGCTCGCCCGAGCAGAAGCTCTCTTGGGAAACTTATAAACTCGAAATTTCTCCCGTCTCAAAATGGAGAAACGAAGAGCATTAACGACGAGATGGCTAATAGAAACGTGCAAGCGGGCAAGAAAGAGACGACGGTGGATAACGAGCAGAAAATGCTATTTCGCGAGAGGGATTTCGCGTCTTCCATCGATTTCGAAGAGAAGACTCGCGGACATCTCGCGACATCGCATCTGGATTATTTTCCTGACGATCGGGACAGGTGAGTGTTATGAAGAATGCATAATACAATAAAAGTACAGATAGACAGAAAATTATATGCGACATAAATTAACAAAAAGCCCTCAAAGTAAATTAAATTATTATAATAAATTATTATAATTATTATTATAATTATTATAAATTATTATAATAAATTATATAGTGCAAGGATCGGTGCAGTTATATATTTTACACAAGAGAGAACTTAGATATCACGTCTCTCGTCTTAATTAATCTTTATTAATCTGTCCGCAAATGCCATTAGAAAAAATACACAATTACTTGTTTTACAAATTGTCCTCACGTTTCACCTCGCTAGTGTTCGCGAAAAATACACACACGAAATAACGATAACTATGGAAGAATGGATGTATTCAGGACCCTTGAGATTCCAGTTTTACCTGAGCATTCCCGTCGGTATTACCGCAGCTTTCTCAAATTACTCCGTGAGGAGGAAATCAAACGTGCGAAATCCCAAGAGGAGAGATAAAGCGACCATACCGTCGTTTATTGATGTGCTCGAGTCGCTCGTAGGATCGAAGATCCGCAATTATTTGGGAGAACTGTAACGTGTCGCCGTACTCGTCGACCTCGACGCATTAATTTTCGACGTGCATTAACCGCGTGTCTGTGTTCGTGTTTAAGCTCGCGACAGTCGTTACCGGAAGATGACGCCGAGAGAGTCGGTTATGTTCTGCGATTGTACGATAAGATGCTCGACTTTCTTCTGTCTCATGGAGCGCACTTAGCTCACATCTCGGCGCGATTTCTTTTAAATTACGACGATTACCTGATCGATGCTGACGTCGCGCAGAATGATGTGGGTTGTAAATTATAAGCTTATAACTACAAAGCGTATAGATCTTTATCTCAAACTTAAACTTTGTTCGCTCAGCTATCAGCTATTTTTATTACCGGTCGTAATAAATTAACCAGTGATTAATTAGTGTTACTTGATAATTTTAATACTTGCATGAGAAATTTCAGTACTCGTGTGTGAGTAATAAACTTACTCGAGCAACAATCGTTTATCACTGGCTAATTTATTACGGCGGGTAATCATTTCGACGGGTGCACCGTCTCACGAAGATGCACAGTCGACCTTATTACAGGCACATAAAAGGAAACTTGACGACAACGCGAGCCACATGCAACGCGAACTACTGTCGCGGCAGTCATTCGACTCGCGAAACAGGCAATGCTGGCTGGATGTAGTTTTGCAAACTTACAAGTGCTTCGTGCTCGTTGGCATACACGAGCGCGAATACCGGACGTTGCCGTTCTTCACGATGCATCTCCCGAGAGAGTCCGCGGTGCATAAGGAATCGATCGTGTCTTCTGCACTGAGGTTTGCACCGTAACCAGTACACGAGTGCTCCGCGAATGACTCGTTCATCAGGTATTTTGACGGATGCGTCTTCTCCAGCTTGCCGAAGCGGTCCGAATTACACGAGAGATCCATACGAAGTGTCGCGAATTCGCCGAGTAAGAGACCCGCTTCCGCTGGCCGGTGCCCGGAGGAGAGCTTTCTGCTGGCTTGGCTGCAATACCATTACGAGCAGCAACGCGAGCGAGATTGGATGACCGATCGTCGCGTAAGCTTGAATCCGCGAGGGAAGCTGGACGTGACCGGGCCCCAGCCGATTCGGGACTTCCACTGCGATTTGTCGGACAGTCTGGCGTTGATCGCCCTCACCGCGACCTACTGTCCCTTTCTCGTTCACGAGCGCTTTGGCAACTTGTACGTCCGTCCGAGAAACAGCGAGGAGGTAATCAAACGAGACTCGTGCGAGACTCTCTTTCCTCGTCTGTGTGACTCTCTCTCTCTCTCTCTCTCTCTCTCTCTCTCTCTCTCTCTCTCTCTCTCTCTCTCTCTCTCTCTCTCTACTTACATTTCATCAAACTGTCTTCCACGCAGACGCTGCACAACGCGATTTGCTTGGTCGCCGCTTGGCGACAGATACGGCTCGGCTTTATCATCGCACCGATGCAACTGGTCCAGCCAAATCGAGTTCAGATGCTGATACTGCTGGCCCATCTCTTCCAAACTTTACCGACGTACATGCCCAACGCCAAGGTTCGTACAAGATTCGCCGTCTGATTACATCTCGGTGTGTAATAGATAATAATCGTAGTTCAACTTTTTTTACTTTGATAAAAATAGATCAAGCTGAGCTGCCCGTTGTCCCAAACTGCGAACAAGCAAATAAGCGTTTCGAATCCGACAGACAACGCTGTAAGTTACTTATTATCATTCGTCAACAACACCGATCGCTTCTTCAGCGTCCTAAATCCCATGTCGGTCCTGCGTTTGAATATGCACGACAATGGACAAGTGCAGATACAGTTTCACGCCAAGAAGATGAGAAAGTGTAGAGGTAAAGTTTGGAACAATCGCCTTCGGGAAAAGAAAAGTCTGGGACTCTAACGTGTTTGATGTGGCTTCAGCGTAGCTACGTGAGACTTTTCGTCTAAATTGATGTTTTCGCTGTCGACAGCGTACTTGTTGTTTTGCGGACGCGCCATCGGGCCGTACTTCGGCGGCAATCAATGCATTGTCTTGGAGGGTCAGATCAACAACATCGGAGTCATGAACGAGTACACTGTACGCAGCAAATTGTACGAAGTCGTCGAGACTAGTTTGAGAATTAAAGTGCCTTATCGAAACGCGGCAGAATACGATATATGGATGGCGGACGAACGGCCGAATCATCCGTGTAAGATAATAACGCTTTCTGCGGCGTGGCATTGCTATTGAATATTTTCAGAGGTGATTCACCTCGCACGATCGATCTCTCGAAGCTGGACAAAGAACCTCCGCAAAAAGTGCCCGCTTTTCAGTCCCCGATTTTTAAATTAAATTTTATGCGAAATGATAGGTCATACGATAAGACATTCACAAAAAAGTTTTACATTGAGCATACGATTGGTTTCAGAGATATAGAGGGTCCAAGTGGTCACTACCTACTACCTACTAAGGAAGTTTGACACTAATAACGTTTCATCGCACGAATTTTTGCGAAATTCAGTATCTATGGGTTCTTTGAGTTACGCTTATTACGAATTCGGTGTCAGATTTAAAAAATTCAAGATGGCGGATGTAATATAGCGGACACAAATAGTGAAACAATTATTTACTTTTGTTAGAACTGTTATGTTGTGGTTTTTTCGGCTAGCTGATTGCAAATTTTCTGTCAGATTTACATTCAGTATAGGCAAGATGAAAAAGTTATCCAGCCAATGAAGGTAAGATAAAAATGTTATCCAGCCAGTGAAGGAAAAATCAAAAAAGTTATCCAGCAATGAAGGCAAGATAAGCTTCTAAATATAACAAATACTAAACTAAATAAAAATAAAACTATCACCTTATCCTTTATGCGTCATGTAACGTATCAGTTTGAATTTGATATCTTTTTTATGAAAAGATAATAAAAATACTTCTTCCACTCAAAAATTGTCGTTGAAAAATTACTTTCGAAAATCTAATAGAAAATTCGCAATCAGCTAGCCAAAAAAATCACAACATAACAGTTCCAATAAAAGTAAATGATTATTTCACCATGTGCGTCCGCCATGTTGCATGTGCCATCTTGAATTTTTAAAATCTGACATCAGATTCATAATCGACAACTCGAAGAACCTATAGATACCGAATTTTGCAAAAATTCGTGCGATAAAGCGTTATTAGTGTCATACTTTCTTAGTAGGTAGTGACCACTTTAACCCTCTACATCTTTGAAACCAATCGTATGCTCAACGTAAAACTTCTGTAATTAATATCTCATCATGGACCATCTTTTGGCATAAAATTCGATTCCAAAATCGAGAACCGAAAAACGGGTAAAAAATCGACCCTTTTTGCGGAGGTTCCTTTATGATTCGTTCGTTCTGTGAATGATGTTCTCGCTGGTAATTGGCCAAAGCGATGCACATCATGGTGATACAGTCATGACAAAACTACGCGCTTTTAGCTAGTTTACAAATGACACGGTGGAGCAATCTGCGCGCTAGAAAAATACCGAGGAGACTCTTCCTAAACCAAAAGTCGATAGTCGTTGTTGAGGGTGAATCGGAAGCACGTTTATCGATCAGCATAGGGTGCATTGCGCCTAAACAGCGGAAGTTTTGGTTGATCTTCCAGGCGAAGACCGGTGACTTTATTATTCAAGTAGGTGTCTCACAAATATAAATAACAGCTGCTGTTTCATGATATTTGCAAGACACGCACCGTCAACGTGATTGAAATGTCGCGCTGTAGAAATGGATATTATTTTACATTTGCGTTTCTATTCCGTAAATAGATATTTTATCATGGATGTATTGCGTAAATAGGATAAATTATTTTCTATTTGTCAACTGTGTCACAGATAAACTCGACTTGGCAAGCGTCGGTTAACGACCATATTGTCATCGAGTGGTCGGCTCGGGAAGAGTGCGTTTGCCCGGATCAGCGAGGTGGCGCAAAAGATACCTGTCCATTCAATTTCAGTGTACCCGTGCCATCGCGCAACGTGCAACTCTGGAGATGCGTGGCCGAAATGTTTCAGAAAAGCCTTGATTCAAGAGAGCGTATTTTCTGGTCCAAATATTTAGGTGTTGCGTTGTATTACACGGAAATCTCTTAGTACTAAAATGTGTCTTCCTATTGAACTTACGTACATAAAATCGCACAAAGAGAAACAAAATTTAAGAAAATGGCTGGGCTGTTCTGTCTTTGCTCCGTTTCTTCTTCTCATTACATTAGAAGCTCCGTATGAGATTTCGGTTTGAATATAAAATATACTTGTCTCTGCAAAATTGCAGCGAGCAACACGAAGCTGCTCGTCTAATTCTTTTTGGATTGTATCTTGAGCGCTAAAAATTGCGCTAAAAATTGTTTGTATTTACAGACTTACTATTGCTTTCAGATACGCACATCGGACTGCGTTTAATACGATGGCTAATGAGAGACGATACTGATTCCGCGGCTTTAGAATTTGCTCATATTTTTGATAGCGCGGTCACGTATAAAATAGCAATTTCCGACAAAGCGAGTCCTCTTATCGCACCGGAATATTTCACTATACAAGGTCAGTAATATTTATATGAATTACCGCATCGTTTGTCTTTTACATCAAACGCAATGTGAGGCATTTAAAAGAATAATCTCGTATAATCATCTTTATTGTTTTTGAAAATGAGGAAATATCCTTAGGAAAAAGCTCATTTTCGTATGATTAAAAGTTCTTTGCAAGAATTTTATAGTAACATTTTATAGTGACAAATGAAGAGAATCATTTAAAATTATCGTTCTGATGACAGATATTCGAAATAGATATTTCCGAATTTCGGGACAGTATATACAATATATATATATACAATTGAGTAAGACACGCTTAGTAAACGTATACTGGAGAAATCATTCCTTATGTGTATATAAAGTTAGACACGGTTTCTATTTTGATAGTCGAAGAAGCCCGTTTATCTCTATTTAATTTAATCGGCATATAAACATAAGACGATCTTATAAATTCGCGTAGATATGGAAATTCTTCGCAATCATTCGTCGTTTCAATTGCTGTTGTAACTAGTTTGTGTGTTAAACGTGTGTGTAAAGAGAGCGTAATTATTATAAAATTAATAATATAAATTAATATAAATTAATAATAAAAGTAATAATTATAAAATTAGTAGATAACAGCTTTATTATTTCAACGCGAGAAAATGGCTAGCATAAATTTCATGCACGATCATATTAACATTCTTCTTATAAAAGTCTTTCTTTTTACAAATGTTTCTTACTGCAAATTCTTCTTATAAAAATGTGAAAATTAGCATAAGGTAATATAGTCTTACATTTACGTGCTATAAGTACATAAAATAAATAAATAATTGTATTTATTTATTTATTTATATTTATATATATTTAAGTGTTTGTATAACTGTTATATATAAAATTTGTATGTACGTCTAGACGTAAGGAGGCCCAACGTGCAAGTTCCAATCTCCATACATATCTCGCCAATGACTCCTTCTTTATATGAAACAACGATGACTTTGACATCTCTGATTGGTAAAGAACTTCGGACGTACACCATTAACTGTATACAATCATAAAGGCAAGTCATCATTAGTCTTTTGACCCTCTACTATATTATAGGGAGGATATAATTAAACAAGATAACATTGGCCTGTAGAATAGGAAACTTTTCTGCTCATTTTCACAGTAATGGCATTTTTGCTTTTAATAATATGTTATGTTCGAAGATATTTCCTTGTAAAGTTATTATTGTGTGTGTGTATGTGTGTGTGTTGTGTCTCATACACGCATACATATTATTGAATACTTTTAAGAACGGCTCTTTTCAGAACGAAATATTTCACAAAGAAATTCTATCTTGCATTTTTGATGTATTTCCATACTTTTTTCTTAGTTGTGTCACGATTTCGTAATATCCAATTTTTCTACTTTTTTTGGAGTTAGCAACAACGCGTCTGTATAAATTAGTGACGCTTATATGATTTCTCCTACCTAACATATATATGAATAAATTAAATTTAGCTTCCGAAAATTGATTGCAAAGAACTTGCGCGCGTACTTATTAAAATGAATGAATACATATCGAAAAAAGAAATGATAATTGCAATATTAGGGAAAGATGTTATTATGATTTCATGCTTGAGCTATAAAATACATGATGATTTTATTCTCAATTAATCTAATATTTCCAATGTGTAGCAATTTCCTTTTTTATTAATTAATTGGATATCCTGCGTCAACAAGTATATATGACAGATAAATACATACTGTGCAATAAATTGATATGTCAAATATAATTTTTAATTTATTTGCCGATCGGCGAACGAATTTGATGCTTTCAAAAAGCTTCATTTTGACGCAAACAGTAATAGTAATTTTGTAAATTGCTTCGTAAACAATTTTAAGTTTACAATGCAGGATAACGATATCATTTACATGCTTTCGCTTGTATATGTTTTATTTGCTCATAAAGGAATTGTGTATGCAAAAAACTTTTATATTATATCATAAAACTATTACGTTTCAAAATACGTGCTTTGTTACAATTCGAAATTGATAATTAACGGTTTAAAAATGTCGGTTTAATAATGATAGTGGATTTCATTTAAAATATAAATGCTAATATAGATCCCATGGAGATATTTTTACACTAAAAATATGGAATATATATGAGCAACGAAAAGTGATTTATGTAATAAAATACAATTAGAAATAGCAATTCCTTTTGCTTTATGTCTTTTATCTTCACAGATTAAGCTTGGTATGGATTAAGCAGCAGAAGGCATTATTGTTCCTAATTGTATAATTTATATTTTTAACTAATATGCAAAACGAACTGATTTTCAACGATTATTTGTTGCAGCGATATTCGTTACACAAACATACAGAGATACAACATACGAAAAGTTCCAAACGTTTCAAATATTTTACAAACACTTCTCTCATGATATAAACATTTAATCTCGGTCAAGACATTTTAAAGTCATGACGAAAGAGCTCTACGTACAACACGACAAAATAAATCAAAATAAATCTTACCAAATAGCATAACCAAGTAGATAACAACCATCGTCTTTATAATGCGTGTGCTATGATAGTCTTTTAGACAAGATTGAGATGAAATGACGTACCGATAAAGATTTGAAAAGTTTTTATCAGATTTTACAACGACCAAGTTAAGTTGCGACGCTGTAGACATACGGAACCATTTTCAAATTTCCTGAGAACTTGGTGATTTAAAAAAGAATAAAATAACAGAAAGGATTAACAAAAGTAAAATTTAAAGTTTATAATACATCAATATTGAATCTGTGGCACCAAGAAAAAATGTTTTAAAGAAAAATTAACGTAATTGTGAAATCTCGTATCAGAAATAAGAAAAAAAGATCAAGCTAAGAATCACTCGCAATACAATCATGAAATTTTTTAGAAATATTTAACGGTTGTTTTAGTAGTATAACTTTCGAACTTATTGCTAATGTTAATTTCTATATTTATTGGTATATAAAGGGAATGTATACATCATGTTTCTCTTTGTATATTAATTTATATTTACATAAAAATTTACAATATATTTATTTAAATAAAATTTAAATTAGTTAGACAATACAATTGTCAAACTAATTTTCGGAGACTCATCGCCTCCTGCAGCAGATCATCGAAGCTGCTCTGATCCGTCGGTGAGTTCGGGCAGCTGCCGTGTGAACTATTCGCAGCGCCGTCTGTAAAACAGAAATTAAAAGTATAATTAGTACAAATTCAGCAATATTAGAAAAATGTCTTTTTTATCTGCGTATTCAACGTTATTTATGATAACTGAACATGATTGAGATTATATGTTTAGAATAAACTTATGCGTTAAATTTGTATAAATGAACGTGCGCATATATAAATGTAATTAATCAATAGAATTAATTTTTACCAAGATCTGCATAGTTCACTTGGCAAAACGCCCTACGGCCACCGAAGGATAAGTGGTACTTGGGAGACTGGCCATCGTTCCCATGTTCTACGGCTCTGTACGCGTCGTTTTTGTCCTCGAACGTTACAAAGCCGAAACTGATACTGTAACACAAAATGCACATCATATATCTTTGTTATATATGTGCGGGCAAATAATAAATGAACACAATAGATGCAATATTAGGGACATTATTTTAGGAGTTCAAGGTGAAAAAAATATGTTGCTCACTGCAAAACGGAGAAAAATACTTACGCTTGCGTACGAAAATGGAGACTAATTTCCTTAATAGTTCCAAACGACCTAAACCGTTGGCGTAGGTCTGCTTTTGTGGTTCCATTTTCGATGCCTCCCACGTACACCACTTTTCTTTCCTCCACTTGTTGTTGCCATTCCCTACGGGATCTGTCGTTATAATGTTTGCGATAGTAATGTGGAGGTGATCTGCTGTAAAAGAAATGATAAAAGTATATTATTAGAGAGATATCTCAATATGCCCTATGTTTATTCGAATATGTATTATTATATGTAATGTATGTCATTTTCACGATGGTATTTTGCCAGTGTGAAAATATTAATAGTGTTAATACAATTGTTTTAATATTATTTATATTTGCTGTTAATGTTATTATATTATTATACATGTTCGAAACAATCAAACAGAATTGGGAAGGAAAGCTATTATCAAGATGCATACACTGACATTTCAAAAAGACAAATTTTAGCTAATTTAAGACTTCTTTTTATTTATGAAAATATTCTCTTATTAATTCAAATATTTATTAATTTAGTCTCAATATATATATTGTCATTTATATATCCGTAAAACTTTACATCGTTATTTGTATTTTAAAATAACTTTTTACCTTCTCAAATGTTGCTCTTGTCGACTGTTGGGATACCTATTTCTTCTATCGTAATAGCGTTCCCGATCACTACTGTTCCTACTGCATGACCACCTGCTGTTTCCATAATTCGAGGCAGGGGACCTAAGATAGTTTTGTTATAGAAGTTTGAATATTTCTGTTTGCATTTATTTTGTACTTATTCTAATATTGAATTATTTGTGGAAGTAGATTGAGTTAAAGCTCTTGTGTTTATTATATTATGAAAGTAGTTCATGCCTTTCATTATAGTTCTTTCTTCTAATGTATCTTGACTAAATGTATTTTGACTAAAATTTTTTATAGATAAATTTTCTGCAAGTAAAATTTTCTCTAAATTTCTAACTTTGAAGATATTACAAATGTGAACAATTATCGACCAATTATATATATAATTACATAACTTTTTTGTTACATACCTTGAGCGGCGAGAGTAGTATCGCGAGGAAGACTTTGAGTGATACGAATTGGAACGTGATCGTCTCCTAGATCTGGTGTTAGATGTAGAAGACCGTGAACTCGAGCTATCGTGACTGTGTCGACGACTTCTCCGATGTGATCTGTGTCGTCTATGTGAACTTCTGCTTCGGCTTCGGCTTCTACCGCTTTCGCTTTCGCTTCTGCTCCTACTTTTACTGGTGCTCGAGTTTCGGCTTCTGCTTCGATCTCTGTTCCTACTTCGTTCAACTTTCATCTTCTTGCTCCTATCTCTGCTGCTACTGTCCCTATGCCTCGTCCTGCTTCTGCTATTGCTGCTATGGCTGCTGCTAGTACTGCTGCTGCTGCTGTTACTATTGTTGTTTGTGGTTGTGCTCCTACTCGTGCTTCTGTTGGATCTCGACCGACTCGAACCACTAGTTTTATAATTGAATAATTTTAAAGACAAATTTAATTGTAAGAGGAAGAAAAGGCTAATAAGAGTTCTACTGGTTACTAGCGAATTTTATTACTCAAATGATAAAATATTTATAGTGTTACTTATATTTTTTTTTACTAAACTATAATTTTTTACTAAACTATAAAATGCTGTGTGCATCGTTATAATATTATTCTAAAATGATTACAATTATGAGATGTTAAAATTCTCAAGGAACTTTATGTTCCATATTTTGATATGGATGATAGAGTGTTATGCAAAGTGTATTTAGATAGTTATCAGATATTATAATGTGAAATTATACACTGATAAGAATATAAAAATAAAAAACACGAGAAAGTATCTCATGTCAGAAAAACATATTTATATAATTCTTTAACCAATAGTTTGAAATACTTATTTAATTATATGTTGCACTATTCATTACTAAAATTCAAAGCTAAAAGGTCTCAAAACATTTTTTAGAGCAATGAGCTTGATAAAGAAATTATTAACTCGTGCCAACTAATGTTTTTTTACACGCGTAAACAAAATAAATTGATAATAAATTTTGAAATCTAAATTTTACCTTTTATTGGTCGTCTCTGTTTCCTCCTTTTTCTCAGCAGTCGAGCACCCAGCAAATTCGAAAATCGTTTCGTATGTCTGTACTGCAACATCGCAGGTGGTTGACTTGGTCTCTGTAAAATCTGATATAGACTTTACAGCTTCTTCGATTTCGTTTTTAGACCAAATCATCTCACCCTTGTCGAAAAAGGGTTCTGTCGTAGTACACGCATTGTACAGATACACCAATTTTCTCTTTATTGAAGAATTACCGCTTTTGCTATCTATACGTTCTCGTTTTTTACGATATTCTTCTAAATTTAATTTCTTTTTCGGTTTATCTAAATCTGTACTTTGTTGAACGGTATTTTTAATGTCATCAGTATTAACTATTATATTTTCTTTTATATTGCTGGATGGTATCAAATTTTGTGTATTCGGTTTTTTCAATACCGAGACCATTGGTGATAACCTGACATTTGCGTTAACTACGTTACCCTTTTGTCGTGACTTGAGGATGTTTCGTGCGAGTACAGACTGGATTTTCATTTCATAACGAGTAGGAGTTGAACTGGTGCTATTTTTCGATGTGTTTATCAAATTGGTGTTGTCCTGTGTCTGGTTGTTCCATGAAGCAGAAGTTGTTGGTATCTGCTTCATCTCGGTGATTTTAGTCGACATTACGTCGCTTTCTCTCCTTTGTTTGTCACAGCTTATTACAGCAGCAGCAGATTGTATGTTATTTTGATGTGTTTTTGGTGTATCTGTAAGAATATAATATAATACAATATAAGATTAGAAAAACAATAGTTACCAATAATTAATCTGTTTATTCATATATAATATCTACCATTGCTAACAGGATTTTTGCCGGTAGAAACCATGCAATAATTATGTTCCAAGTTTATCGAAGAACTACCTTCCACTGTTAAACTATCGCTATGACTGGGGCGTGGTACATGTTGAACATCCTTTATTTGACTATTGGTATTTTGGCTATGGCTTTCGGATTGTTTGGTGTTTGGTATGGTGGTTGCAGTTGAGGTAGTTCTTCTAGTTTCTTGGACCTAAAATTAAATAAAATGAGCAAAAAGAAGAAGCAATGTTAAGTTTCTTTTTGTAATAATAGTTAAGTTATCGCGGTAATTACCTTTGCCATATCTGTGGGTTTCTTCTGTGACGGATCCTGGATGACTTTGTGCTGATCCATAATGGGCACAGTGGATTCCTTATGCATGGTTTCTTGGCAGTTCCGTTGTTTCGGAGGTCTGCCTCGTGGTCTCTTAGCCGGTTGAGCGTGTTGTGGAAGAGTATTTTTAACAGTTGATTTATCGTGCGATTTTGGTAAATTTTGCGATTGTACAATATTTTCAAATTGTTCCAATAAGCTCGATAAATCAACTGCTTCTATACTTTTTATATCTTCTCCTATAATAGAAAATAAAGACATCTCAATTAGAACTTAAAATCTTTACATAGTTGAAAATCATACTCTAATATAACTGTATTTGAACAAGATTGACTTATACCTATTGTTCTATTTGCCATAGTGTCAACATCTACACTCTGTTTTTGTCCTTCAAGTTTAGTGCTTGTAAGATTTTTTTCTACTACTTTCTTCCTTCTTCCTGCACTGATCTTCTTAGTGCCTACACTTTTCTTGAAGGACTTGCATGCTTTGTGAGATGTTGTAGGCTGATCAATAGGATTCATTTTTTTCTCTTCCACTTCAAGATTCTTTTTAACTTGAACTACTAAAAAGAAGAGATACTTATTTTATATAAATGCTGACAATATTAAAAGTAAAATTAGGAAAATAATTAGTGATACAAACCAATTTTCTCCATTTCTTCTTGTGGTCTTATGGGCATAATGGATATGTCTTGTAAATCATTTGTATATATAGTTCCCAATTCTGGGAAAATATCCTAGAATATAGATACTTTTTGTAATAAGTTTTGTACAAAAAGTTTTATAAAAACATATAAACATTTAAACAGAACAGTGATGTTTTTATTATTGATATTGAAATTGATATCTTTATTATTGATTACTGATGTTTCTATCATATTTATGTAATCAAAGTCAACATTTTTATTTTGCATAATTTCAAACAAATCTATTCTTATACATTGAAGATAACTTAATCAATAATAAAAATAAGATTTCTAACCTCTAGGCGAAGTCCCATAGTCTCTTCTCCTTCATACTTATGGAGTATTGTCTCACGTTCTACTACTTCTGATGATTTCAAACATTTTGCTTTGTCGCGAGTAAAATTTTGTGTCCTAAATCAAATAGAATACAATGCATTAGTGTTTAATATCAATCAATCAATATATGAATGAGTATCATTCAGCAAGATTAAATACTTACTTTTCTATCATTTCATGCCATTCGTCCAATTTCAGGTGATCAAATTCATTACATTGTAAAAACATTGACATAATTTCTGACTCAAACATCTCACTGTGTGCTGATTTCTATAAATATACAAAGTTTACGATGCAAACATGTATTTCCTAATTTTTATTTTCTATAATATGCTTTCAGTATATATATATTATATATCTTATTGATATCATATAAATTAAAATATATATATATATTTTATACATAATTCTTTAAAACTTGTTTATTTTTTATATACTTTCATTTTATATTTATATAATATTTATATATAAGAGATAATTATTCTCTTTCTGTATGGTTGTATCTATTTCAATACTTATGAATTATATAAGTTATTGATTTTTAAGTTCTTAATAAATATTTGTTACAAAAATAAACATCTTTTATTGAAATTATATTAAGATATATAAATATCAATATAAATTTAAGTATATTAAATATATATACACATATACATATACATATATATATATCAAAGAAAATCACAAAATTAACTACTTTTATGCTAAAACTACTTAAAACTATTTTTATAAAATCGATAATATATGATAGAATTTGGAAGAAAACTTAAATTAAATTTTGTGTTGCATAATACAAGAAAAAATACATGAATACCTACGAATTATACATATATATGTACTTGCATATATTTTAAAATATAAACTTTATCTTTTAATGTTTCGTGCAACTAGACTTTTATCCAATATTTTGCTTATTATAAGACTTTTGCTTATTACAGACAGTTAAAAATGAAAACTACTAATATTAACTTATTAAAGTAAATTTTGATATTAATATTTTGGAATGTTTTAAGAGAGGCATTCATTTCAACAGACAATACATTCGCAATATGTGTGAAGGTATAATGTTTTCAAAAGAGAGCAGATGTATATAAATCAAATTATTTAATTTGCTTAATATTATACATTATAGATATATTATGCATCATATATTATCTAAAAAATATTATGAGGAAAGCATAATTTATTCTACAGCTATGAAACATTACCTTCGGGCTTGGTGGTGACTTGAAGATATTTTGGCAGTAATCAGGAATGTTCTCGTCAGGATATTTACGTTGTGCCTCCATCAGTAGTTTCTCGAAATCAATCAATTCAGGTCGAGATATTTCTATCGAGCTGTGATGAAATCAATATAATAAGAAATAAGTCGATTGACAGTGGACACAAGCGGCCGGTTTGACCCGTTCACGCGATTATTACAGGGTTACGCGTTCTCGTTTTAGGTTATGTTCGGAGCGGCGAGAGAGCGTGGTGCGGGAACGCACGTGTACGGCTTGAAGTCTGACACTCACTCGTTGTTGACGTAGACATTACATGCGAAAGCGCGCTTCGTCCTTAGGCATGCACGTGCCGCATATCGATCGGAGAAAATGCATGTATCGTGCATCATACAAATGTATATCCACGTTGCACTATTGACGCATTTCGTCAATTGGATGCACAGACAATAGTGTCGCGCGCTCCTGTTGAGACCAGACCAGCTGCTCAACTAGAGCGGCAACCGGCTCGCGATATACCGTTATTCACCATAAAACTGTCAATCCGTCGCGACAATACGCTGTTACACGCAACAATACACGATACCGTAACCGAAACTTCACTACATTTATTAAAAAGATTGTTTCCGGATACGCGATCTACGGCTCACTGTCTCACGGATTCTTTCACGATGCGGATACATGGGAGAGAGCGCTGCGTATGCATGGGCTACACACGGATATAAATATAAATGTGTATGTGTGCGTGCGCGCGTGTGTGTGTGAGGGTGTAGCGCGCGCTTTCGCACGATATGTAGCTAGTTGACCGCGAAAGCGAAAGCTGCAGCGCGAAGGAAAGAAACAGACTGAGACAAAGGGAAAGAGAGAAAGAAAGAAGCCGGCATGCTGGAGCTTATTTATATTGAAATCGACGCCTCATGTCTTTGAAAGTCGGTGACGGTAATGACAACTTCGACCGTTAACGCCTTCGTCACCCTTTCGTGCCGATGCAAAGAAATATTAAAGAGATCAGCTGTATACATGTTATTGGCGCGTGACTCATGGGGGACACGTTGGGGGACGCGTTATAAACACGAACCTTTTAGGAGCGAATAGTCGACTAACTCTCGGCTGCCCATATGTTTAGACAAAAATCACGATGTAAATAACGTTATGCCGCTGTAATTCGATATGCCGATATCGCACCGGTCGTCTAAATACCGGCGCGAGGCACTGACATGCGACGGCACGCAAATGTTTAAACGGTGAGACCAGCGCTGGAAACGCACATGCGATCGACGCATTTCTCGCGACTCTTCCCGTTATCGGCACTGAGTCATTCATATCGTATATATCGTGTAATGCATCCGAACACGAATTCTCCGCGTGTAATTCACTGTCCGCCGTGTAGAACGTGTAAATTGCATTATGCACGTGTGTTTCAGCGCGCCGCGCTTGCGCTCGGTACTTGCTACGTAGAGGGCGGATACGTCATCGGTCACGTGACCGACCTGACAGCCGTGACAACGCGGTCCGTTTGACGCTACGGATACTAACGAGCGCTTCGACGCCTTCGGAATGCAGCCCGCGCTCTGCTGATCAGTCAAATACATCGCGACTTTATTTGCACGATCTACATGTCATCACATGCACATCAGTTCGATCAGCAAAGCGGGTCTCCATTCTTAACCTCGCAGTGACCCAGCAAAATGATACTTTCAGCAGTCCCGGACTTTTTCTACAGCGTCAAACGATAATTAAAATATGCATGTATGATAAATCGGAGAGTCTCAAGTGACATTTTCTAAGTATATATGTTAGGTGACAGATTTTAAACACCGGTCATTTGTACAGCACGAAGTTGTTTAGATACGTTGCAGTGACGTTTGCAGATTTCAATGCGACGCTAATTTCATGCGATGCTAACTTCAGCGCGATAGCAATTTTAACGGTAACGTTTGATCGCGATGTTTAATCGTTCGCCTCGGCGATGTTTTAATACGGTTCGCTTTTCGGCACGTAAGATTTGGGGATTTATGCAAATGGCTCGGGAATACCGGAGTTGTCGACATATTCGGTTCATGGCGAGTGTTAATAACGCGAATGTCGGCGTTGAACGGATAATCGACATAGCTTGTGTGTAAGGTACTGTGTACGCCATTCATCTTTTTGAATTAATGTCCCACTCGGTGAATAAAAAATATAAGGAAAGAGCGTGTGTGAAAAACAAGAAATATATGCTGGGGGATGCGACGAACGTGACGTCATAAAAGTGCACCCAAAGCGACTATCGCTTTATCGCAATATCTGCGAGTCGAAGCAAGTTTTATGGTATAATTTCATGGAGTAATCGAGAAATAGTCCTACGCAAACGTTGTTTAACATAAAAATATAGATGTGTACTTTTTCCTATTATCGATAACAATATTCATACACGCATACTTCAAACATGTCTTTAGAAAGCGCGTGCTTTGTGTGATTATATTATACACTTCTAAGCACGCGAGGTTATTGCTTTGCTTTCAGTGACGTCAATTATAAGGTAGTTATGCATTTTATATATAGTTACATGTTTATAAAACACGCAGCCTGATTATCAAGAATCCAGCAATATCGCAATTACTTCGCTCCTTCTTTATATTCTTTATTCAATGGCCCTGCTACATATTTAAAACCGGCAACACGTAACGTTATTATATTGTATTATTATTGTTTACAGCGATGTTGTATCATCACAAACTCAACTTCACTGTAACGCTATATTGTCATGCTTTTCGAAAACGGACATTTTGTCATATAGTAGCAATCTAATTTCAAAAATACCACATTACTGCGTAATATACTCAGAACGTTGCAATTTTATAATATTTTCGCAACATTTTTATGATATACCTATATGCTGAGGAAATGCGCATACGTACAATAAAATATATTAAAAATGTATTCTTAAGGTCTTGGTCTCTCGCCACAGTCATTTTGATTTTGACGAAGTGAGAAATTTTATAACAAAAAACTGTCGACTGTTGAATTTTGTCTCGTAAGTCCTATCGATGAAGACGCGTAAAAAATCAGTCATCTTATTAATCTCGCGAATTTCATTACTCTTTGATCAATTTTATCGATTAATTACGATTGGAAATGACTACAAGTAATTTGATTCTTGATTCGTCCGAAACACGCGTATGCTCACTGCACAAGCGCGTGCAATATCCTTTGACTGTTCAATAGAATACCGACAACAATCGGATGATTGCTAGAACACTGCAAAGAAACATTACACGTTTGCGTTTGCGTTCAGCTCGCCATATTATGTAACAGGGCTCGGGGCTTGTTTTGTCGTTAGTATGTACGTGTACGTATACCTTAGCGTATACCAACGGATGTTCGAGAAATTCTGGACCAACCAATCCGTACAGGTAGAACAGGTGAAATTGAACGATAAAGTCATATAAAATTTTCCGACTGTGTTGTCTTTTCACATGAAAATTAGCCGACTAATTAACGAGAATCAACGCAAAATTAAATCTATGCGACAGTCTTGTGATAAAGTGGGCAAAAGCTAACATGGCATATTAACGTTTTTTGTATTGGATAACTTTACGCGACAGGCAGGCAGGGTTGCTAGCGGCGACGCTTTCTTATATAAGTGCACAGTAAGTTTGTTAGTGGAGCACAAATCCTGCGCATATGCGTAAAATAATATAAGTTGTACTTACTCGTCGATCTTGGCGTCCTCATCAAAGAGCGGAGTATCTTCAGTTATGTCTGTGATGGGCTCCATCTCTGAGTTGCTGAGGAATGTTACGGATGGGCTATTGACGGATGACAAACCGTCGTTGAAAGACATGTTTTTTTGCACCGCACCACTGTGGGCCAGGAAACTAAAAAAGTGTTCCAATTATGAAATGTGGTAGTCCGAGGTTCTCCGGGTTGCTGATTTCGAATCCGTATTCAAAATTCAGAAATTCAAAATGGCGGATCCAATATGGCGGACGAAATTGCTAAAAATGCTCTGACTGTGTAGCAACAAACTAAAAAAAAAATGTAATTAAAAAATTTTTTTAATGTAAAAAAAATGTAATCAAAATGTAATCAACGCCCAAGTGTCTATCAGAATCACCGGGAATTTTGTCAAGAACTTCCCTTTTTGTTAGTCTTGACATATTTAATTTGGAAACAAAGCGCGTGCTTTACGATGAATTTTTTACGAATTCCTATAAGATATTCGCGAAAGCGCAAAAAAGTCGCCGACTAAACTTCAAATATATTCAAATATGGAAGGAATGTTATGAAATCGTTTTTGGCTTGATGGAGCGTTCTCATGTTTATAGGGATATGATAAATGTATACACAACTTTTTTAAAAATAAGAGGAAAATATTGAAATTTGTGTAATGTAGTCAGAATTATGAAAATCTTCAAAAAAATTATTGTCTTTACTTATAGGAAAATTTTTAGGTTTAAGATGTTGTTAATGGAAGATTAATTAACAAATCAATATAAAATTTTTATCAACAGTGCCTTGATTTATGTAGATAAAGTTAGTATGTTACTTTACTCGAAATTTTGCAACCAAATTTTGGCCACTTTTTCTAGTCTTCTGGCCCAATGTGCACACGGAAGCGCGGCACATCCTGTATATATGTGTAAAAAAATATAAGTTGTACTTACTCTTCGACCTTGGCATCCTCATCAAAGAGCGGAGTATCCTCAGTTAGAGCTGTGATGGGCTCCATCTCTGAGTTGCTGAGGAATGTTACGGATGGGCTATTGACGGATGACAAACCGTCGTTGAAAGACATGTTTTTTTGCACCGCACCACTGTGGGCCAGGAAACTAAAAAAGTGTTCCAATTATGAAATGTGGTAGTCCGAGGTTCTCCGGGTTGCTGATTTCGAATCCGTACTCAAAATTCAGAAATTCAAAATGGCGGATCCAATATGGCGGACGAAATTGCTAAAAATGCTCTGACTGTGTAGCAACAAACTAAAAAAAAAATGTAATTAAAAAATTTTTTTAATGTAAAAAAAATGTAATCAAAATGTAATCAACGCCCAAGTGTCTATCAGAATCACCGGGAATTTTGTCAAGAACTTCCCTTTTTGTTAGTCTTGACATATTTAATTTGGAAACAAAGCGCGTGCTTTACGATGAATTTTTTACGAATTCCTATAAGATATTCGCGAAAGCGCAAAAAAGTCGCCGACTAAACTTCAAATATATTCAAATATGGAAGGAATGTTATGAAATCGTTTTTGGCTTGATGGAGCGTTCTCATGTTTATAGGGATATGATAAATGTATACACAACTTTTTTAAAAATAAGAGGAAAATATTGAAATTTGTGTAATGTAGTCAGAATTATGAAAATCTTCAAAAAAATTATTGTCTTTTCTTATAGGAAAATTTTTAGGTTTAAGATGTTGTTAATGGAAGATTAATTAACAAATCAATATAAAATTTTTATCAACAGTGCCTTGATTTATGTAGATAAAGTTAGTATGTTACTTTACTCGAAATTTTGCAACCAAATTTTGGCCACTTTTTCTAGTCTTCTGGCCCAATGTGCACACGGAAGCGCGGCACATCCTGTATATATGTGTAAAAAAATATAAGTTGTACTTACTCTTCGACCTTGGCATCCTCATCAAAGAGCGGAGTATCCTCAGTTAGAGCTGTGATGGGCTCCATCTCTGAGTTGCTGAGGAATGTTACGGATGGGCTATTGACGGATGACAAACCGTCGTTGAAAGACATGTTTTTTTGCACCGCACCACTGTGGGCCAGGAAACTAAAAAAGTGTTCCAATTATGAAATGTGGTAGTCCGAGGTTCTCCGGGTTGCTGATTTCGAATCCGTACTCAAAATTCAGAAATTCAAAATGGCGGAT